GCATGCCTATCACTGTGTCATTGATCTATGCATGCAATTATTTTTTATTTTATTTTATTTTATTTTTTATTTTCTAGGTAGTTGTTTCATGCATGTGAATCTATGTTGTGTTTGCATTGGCACATTCACATTATTTTTTTAATTTTGTGTGCTTGAAGCATTCATGTTTTTAAATATAAAAAACACAAAGAAATTGAAAAATGAAAAATAAAAAAATTGGGGATTGGAATCTTTTTTACAACATGATATATAACATTCTTGAACTTGTGTGCTGTGAACATGTCTGGGCTTAATTGATAAGCTATAGCACATTTTTCCATTACTTGCTTAGGTTGCTATGGAGTACTTAGTATAGGTGTCTTCATGTACCATATGCACTACACACACTATGATATTGTAAGTGAGACTTAACCGTGTATGTGAGATTTGGGATGGCAATCACTTGTTAGTAAGGTAACTTTGAACATGAATCGACCAAATTTGTTAGACCTAAGCTCAAGTATACCCCCTCATTATAAAAAGCTCAATATCTTATGTTTTTCTTCCGAGCCTATTTCACTCGAGCAATTAAGCCTATGGGGTGTCTCAAAATCTAGTGTTTATGACCAACTAACTTGGGTTAATCGGCTTAAAGCTCACTACAGAGGTTATCTTAATCGCTTAATGGAGAAGGACCTACACTTAAGATGTAAAACTTGATGAGCTTTAAAATATTGAAAAATGTGAAAAATGTATGCTCAAAGTTGAAAAGAAAAGATCATAATATATATACAAAATGAGCTTCATTTAAAGGTCCTAATGAGCTTAGTGGTTTGACTTTCATAAGTAGGAGAATAAACTTATTGGCAGTGATGTTTTACATGTCCTTTCTCACAAAATTAAGGTTTGAAGACCTACTTACAAAGCATTAGTGGCACTTTACACACAAAGGTCACTTATATAATTTACTCCATTTTAACTTAAAATGAGTATGTGGGAAAGTTTACTAATCACTGATTATACTTGTGCATGCTATCAACTACATTTTTAAGTTGTTATATATTGTTGCTTAAATTGAGTTTGAAATTGCACCCTTCATCATTTGTGACAAAAAGGGGGAGATTAGAGTATATACAAAGGGGAAAGAATATATAGACAGGGGAAGAACCTTGAAATTGAATTTGCATTGACATTCATTTGCATTTCATGTCTAGGGGTCATTAGGGAGAGATATAGATACATTTTGATACTGCATAAAAATGTTGAGAATTTACAGAGAAGGGGAGAATTTGTATTTCATTGCATGCTGTATCATAATGCATAGCTATTTGAGTTTTCATATTTTGTGATGTTAATGTTTCGGTTGGTGTTTTGATTGACATTAATCTCACGTCTCAAACTAGCATGCTTATTTATGATTATGAATTTCAATTGTTACATTTCCTGTATCACGTGCTTTTACACTGGTATTTGAGTTTTCGATTTCAAGAAGCAATTATAACAAGGAATGTAAGAGACAGAAGAGTTTGGGCAGTTTAGATT